AAATATCATGAATTTATTGCTTAAAAGGATTCACTCTGTGTTGAAGTATTCAAGCAAGGGCAAGCACATAATAGGAATGTCAAGGACTGACAGTCCTAATGGCAATTGTCAATGCAATGTGTGCAATTATAGATGGTCAGTTGTTTGAATCTTACTTGCCTTTGCTTATGATATTCTGTTGATGATTTAGTTGCATATAATATTTATAAATAATTCAATTCATTATTAAATATAATTATATCCATTATCATTATCACACTGTTAATTTAATTGATTATTATAGCATAAAAACCATACTCCACCCTTGGTCTCGTTATAATAACATCTCTAACTCCTTTTCTATTAGTCAATATATCATTAACTATTTCAATCCAAACATACACTAGGGAAAAGGCAACATTCCCTTATGTTGCAACAAATGAAACTGGGAGCATCTTACAGTCAATAAAAAATACCCTCGTATTTCAAGGAACATGTAGCGTGCCTGCTACAATGTTAAAGTATTGAATCACCTCTCCTTAGGTGCATCAGTTCAAATTCCAAGCAACAAGCTGTCAGCAACATGTCCTTATAGTGTATGTTGGGACTGAAAAAAAGAATAAAGAGCATATTGTCTTGTATCTGCTAAAATACCACTTCATCCAAGAAAAAAAGAATGTAAACAGGAACTACAAGAAATCATGAATAATAATCCATTGACTGATCTATACAAGCATACACAGTACAAGACAACTGCTTCAACATTCAAACAAGAAATGGAGTTAGAGACTAAATAATACTTCAGTTATTTGAAGAGACAATTATCATTTAAAGGGCAGAGAATGGTATATCTATCGTAAATAACAACTTTATCAACCAATTGTTAGTTCCATCAATGACTCTTGCATTGATTTAAATTGATCATAATAATTCATTACTTTAATTCATATTCCTCTTCATTAATGACTCTTTGTTTTAAGGTATAGTTTACATTATGACAGTATGCCATCAATATACCTGTTGATGGATACTAAACATTGGAATAGAACTACTACTACTTGTGCTATTCCAGTGTTAATGTAATGCTAGTCCTAACTAACAATATAATGTAAACCAACCTTAAAGACTGCCATACATGATAGGAATACTGAATCTTACAATAGTTGCAAGTCCCTTGTATATCATAGGACACTGAATGCAATCTATTGTCAGACACTACCGTGCTTAAAGGATGATTGACACTACAATACAAATAATACATTTACAGGCTGTTCCTGTACTTGAGTTTAAATCAGCCTTAAACCACAGCATTGCAAAGAATCAAAGTCAATTAATTATTTATAAATTAAAATGATACCTTTTTGACTCGTACCTTTCAATATAATTTATAATAGTCTTATGCAATTCATATTCATATAAAAATGATGATGTAGCAAACAGGACAAAAAGATATATAATAAATTTAGACGTGAACTTGAAATCAAAATTATACACTCCTGTTTTTTACTTATTAAAAGTTCAAGCTGATTTTATGACAGACTATAGAGCAGTAAAAAAATCGGACAAAATTATCACCAAAAATTACTCCAGGCCATATCGAAACAATTCATTCAGTAAAAGGAAGGACTTCAAACAAAAAAAAGATGCTGCACTTGATCTCAGTCTCCACTAGTCTGTGAACTGTCATTCAACTTTACCTTTTCATCAAAAATAACCGATTGCTTGATGAGAGTAAAAGGAAGAGCTTTGCAATAATTTAGCAGATGATTAACTGCAAATCAAACTGGTATAAGGTTACTCAAATAAAATCCAGTAGCTTTAGAAAGTACTCATTAGTACCATGTTGTGGTATAATTTTAGTTCAAGTTTAACTGCAGACAATAGAAAATCGCATAACTACGAACCGTTGAGCTTGGAGCCTTGGACCTGTCATGTCTATATCAAGAGCAACTATTGTTTGTACCAATTGACACTGTACGGGGCTCTGATTACTTGGAACATAATAGCTTCAGTGTAGCTATCATCTGACGTGTCCCCTATGACAATTCACACTCATGGCAAAATTTGGCCAAGGGGCTTTGGCCCAAATTTTGAGAAACTTTTAAAATTTATAATAAATCCAAATAAGATCAGAATCAACTCAAAGTTGAAATGTAACAAACATATCTGTATCAGCAAAATGGAATATTTTCTCCTTGTGATTCTGTCAAAATATCCTCCACTACAGTACAGGGCCTTAGGCTCAATTATTGAGCAACTTGACAATCCACCAAAAAGAAGCTAAGCACTATGCCAGAATCCTGTACAAAATCATATACTGATATCAATGGAACATTTGATGTACAAGACCAAAAAATCAAAACACCATAAATTTCATGTAAAAATTAATCTCTTCCATGTCCAGCAGCTCACAATTATGATAGAAGACATCATGTTATGTTGATGAGTGCTTACAAAGCATGAGTGCTACCTTTCCCACATATCTAATACCAAAACAATGGCAGTTGTGTTCTTCATTACTCAAAGCATCTCATTATAAATATCACAGTCCAACATTGGTAAGACTAAGACACTGCTCTACAAAATGACCAAAATTCATTCGTGTATCATCTTGAGTTGATGGATACTGTATGAATAGTACAAACTCATCATATCCTCTTCAATGAACTAAAGTACAATATCCAATTGTGGCTGCCTATGGACCTTCAGAAACTAGAAAAACCACAGCTTTAAAAATAGTTCTAGCACAAATAGGCATTTCAAGATAACTTATTCTTGACCCTGATTATATTTAGGACTCGGACATAACTTTGTATATCAAAGTGTAACAGACTCTTTCATATTGGAGCAGGCAAGTATTAGCACACTACCTTTTGCTATAAATGACCACCTCCTAAGGCTGCAATTTAACAGAAATTATTGTCTATTTGAACAAGGGGCAGGTTGGCAAATAAAAAAAGAAAAAAGGCACCAGAATCAGTCCTCATTATATGCACAAACTTAAAAGTGAAAAACGTAATGACAGATTCGTGACTCATTCCATCCACATCTACATGTATATACATGTATTACTAGGCAGCTTGCCTTCTCTTGTGTAGGACTACACTTCAGACATGCTATGATGCTAAAGGTCTCCCTGAAGTATGAACACAGCTGTAAGCTACATGTATATATGTGACCATAATTGACAAAAGGTACCTTATGGTGGATCTTTATATTCATCATTATAATGAAAAATATCAACCTGTGAGTGTTCTGTTAGACATCTATTGTTTCTAAAAGTTACTTAGTAACTTTTTGCATCCTCTGAAGTAATTTTATGATAAATTGAGCTCAGAAAGTTGGATTTTTTAGGCTATAAATACCAATTTTCCTATCCGCCATAAGGTACCTTTTGTCAATTATGGTCACATATTTATATTAGTGCTTATGTCATCAGTAAATTTGTTGAGTAACTGGCAAATGTATCACAATGGTGACAAGTATTAAAAATTTGATGAATAATTTTTCATTGAAAGATGTGACAAATTCATCCTCAGACGCCATACAATATAGTATAATACCTCAATGGATTTAAATATACATGTAGTAAGTTAAGAAAGTGAGGCAGTGTGTTTCATTCATTAATAAAATGTCTAATTTTTGGAACACACCTTTTATTGTTGCAGCACTAATGGTAGCTATATGCATTGAATTAAAAGGTACGAGTCAAAAAGATGCATAGTCAATACTCAATAGCAAGAGAATGGATAATTAATAATTCATTGTTTACGGAGAGTGTCTAACTCTTAGAATTGTCTACATGCTTTAACTGCCATTTTATCAACCACTCAAAAATTTAAATGTATACTTCAGAGCAAACGAATGTTAACATACAGTACCTGACAAAAATAACTTGTTCGTGCACAAATGACGCGGTCTATCACGCAAAACTTTGCATTATAACACGTGGGTTGCGTCTGATATGCAATGAACACGTGTGCATGCATGAGCGTGGTCTTTCAGGATCTCACGCGTGTACACTGATAATAACACTGCACTTCTTCCTTCTGTACTTGAATGAACCAGTACCATCTAAAATAGTGTGAAAGAAAGTCAGGAAAAGGTACATATAAAGAGTACCAGTGGCTATTATGCTGAGAAAACAGCAGTGTAGTATGACATGCCTCAATCTGGAAGGCCAAAGTTGCTATCTAGAGGCCACTATATCGCTATATACAATTTTATGAACAATAATAATGAAATACAGTAAAATATTATCTAGCTTATTAATAGAAAGACAGGAATAGTGCCAAATGCATTTTGTCTTCTCCAAGGATAATAATGACCTAAAAATAAACAAAAATACTTTTAAGAAATAAATACTAAAGCTGGTACCTGTTCCTGAAACTTCAGGTGAGTCAAAATCCCTCGGATGTACGCATGGTCTTGAGATACCTTGCATGATCACCAACAAAAAGCCAGGAAATCAATCACTCACGTGACCACATACAGTACAATGTGTGTTTAATGCAGCTGTCACAGGTGGCAAAAATGCATAATTATTGTATGCAGTCTTGATGTACTATTGTATGCAGTCTTGATCTAATTATTGTACGCAGCCTCGGATGTACACATAGTCTTGAGGCTTGAGATATCTTGCATGATCACCAACACAAAGCCAGGAAATCAATCATTTATGAGACCCCATACAGCACAATGTGTGCTGTCACAGGTGGCAAAAACGCATAATTATTGTAATGTAACTGGCGCTTTCCATGCAAAAAAATGCAAGTTACTTTGTCAGGTACTACAAAAGTGGTATCGCATATATAGACACTCTCCATAAATAATTATACACTCTTGTGTAATAGCCAGGAACTTTTAAGGACAATATATTTTTTTAAGTTTTTATAAATAAAGAATTACAGCAAAACTTTGAGCATTCCAGCAATAATTTAATCATAAGTTTCCCAATATTACTATTATTGTTATTATCATTACTATATTACTATTACCTTTAAATATCTAAATAAACCATCTTCCTCAAATAGAAACGCATAGTGGAACTGTGGGAGTGCAGTACAAGTCCTTTGCAATAGCGCAAAGTATCAAAGAAGACTTTACAGCCAAGACTATCCGTCCATCAAGTACATCTAATCATCTTTAAAATTTATGCTCATTGACCTAGTTAGAATTAGAAATTGATAAAGTAAATTCACATACATGTACAACAACTTCATCACCTACTAGAAACAATCATATTATAGGTTGCAATAAATGGGCCTATGATTTCAAAGCCATGCAGTAGAGTGCTTAATAAGTTACGAGCATTATTGTCAAAATCAATTTCTAGATTTACAATTACAACATAATTGACATGTGGTTAATGTCACATTAATGGCCAGGGGATATGTTTGGTAGTTTGGATAAAAGGCAACAAATTATGAATACGTCACAACATACCTGCCGCTAACACGTTGTCACCAAACTGAACCAGCTAGCAACATAGATACTACAAACACACTAGCAATGAGCTCGCCTGAGTTCGTGCCAGACTATATATAATTTTTTTTTAAAAAAGAATTATACAACCAGGATCACATTTACCCTTAAGAACGCTCGATGGAAAGAGATTTCTAACTTCAATGCCACCACCATTAAATTCCACACTCAGGCATCTGAGTTAATTACGGTTAATTGCGCAATTATTATGCGCATGCGCATTGATATTACCCGCTAAAATCGTAGATGCACACAAAAAATAATAATCAGAATAATGAAGAACAAAGTTTTTTAAAAATTATTATTGGCTAAAAGATAAACCATCTTGATTGTTGTAGTATTGTTCTTCTTGTTCCATGTATCTCTGATAATGATCATCAACTATCTGAACAATGTTAACTTCATTCTCTCTCACACGATACTTATAACGTTTAGCCAGTATCATAAACACTATCAGTATGATAAGAACTAGTACACTCTTTGTTATATAATAGTAGAAACTAGTACATACTAACTCATAGCAACTAAACAAAACCTTAAATGCAATATTACCAAAACAGCCAATTCCCCAAGAAGCATACCACAATCCAACCATCACTCCTCTCATGTGTACTGGAGACTGAGCTACTGTAAACTCTAATGATGCAGGAACAATCAGAGAATATGTCAATGAGAGTAAAATTTTAGATACAAGCAACATTTCATTGATGTGCAGAGAACTGGAATAAAATTTAAAAATAAATAATTCTGATAGCAGGACACACAGTGCAGTAATTAAACCACCAATTAATCTTGTCAGTATACGTGGGACATATTTACTGAAGAAAGCTCGAAATAGAAACAAATAAAATAGCAAAATGAAAACGACAGATAACATGTAACCAAAATAAGTTGAAACAATGCATGATAGTGCTGTTGGCTTACTGGACACAATATATTTGTAATCATTACTAATTACAAAGCCAGTTAGTACTATTAGTAATGGTATCATACGGAAAAATATCTTCACATCTTCTACCTCTTCCTCTGTGAATGGTCCACCATATTTATCCTTACCCAGGTCTAGTCTTGAAGGAGCCTCTTCCTCCCAGTAGGTCAGAGCACTACGATTCTCAGGATACTTGTGCTTCCTGGCATAACACAATACTCTAACTATGAGTTTGATGGGATTCTTGATCAGTGATATGTTCTCCAGTTTGTGTTTGAAGAATGAATGAGACACCAATGTCACTGCTACTGCCAATCCTGAAGTTAGAAATGTAATCAGCACAAAATATTCTGTAGTATTGAAAAGACATCGTGACAATTCAAATATCATAGTGCTAAGTACTAAAGGTACAGAATGCCAGTATATGACGGCATTTAATTCATTAGCTGAAGCACCAATCAGTTGATCAATATTGTATTGCACAATGTTAGCCCGAAAACTACAGTAGCCAATTGTTTCAAAAACATACACAATAGTATACGCAAACCAGTAAAGAGGATTGGGAAATTGATAAATAAAGTTTACAGTGTAGCATGTTCCAATTATAATCCATGATATAAAACATAAAACTATACCAATGAGTATAGCTTTGTATCTTCCAATCCATACATCAGCTAACAGACCAAATAAAGGAAAGAAGATGTATTGAGCACATATAAGAATTGAAAAGCCATGCCAATTTGATTCCTTCCGTAAAACAGTGCCCATAAGATATTGCATTGAGATGTTGTGTATATAAAGAAGGACATCCCACAGTAGAATAATAATAACAGAACAACTGAGAAACAGTAAGGGACATTTGTTCTTCAAACTCCTACAAAATCCAGAAACATTTCCATTTCTAAAACACATTGATCTGACTATTGGCAGAATACACTAAGGAAAATAACAGATTGTGTGAATCTAAGTAATGTGTCAAAACTAACTCAACAGTTTACTATCAACTAATACTTTTTGTTTCAAAATAAGCAAAGAAGTGATAAACACTTAATATCAAGCAGAAAAATGTTTCAGTGTTCATTTGTGAATTAAAGTGTCAGTGCACACATCAGACAACATCAGTTATTATACATTCCACATTCACTATTGGTACTTGCTTGTGAGGTTGCTTTTGCTGATGCATCTTAACCAGTGCTTTGATTTGTTCTTTCAGTATTCTCTGAAGTAGAAAAGAAGCATTATATATAGTACAAATGTCTATATATTCCAGTGACGGATGAGTGAAAATAGATTCATAAAACATTATTACAAAGTCCTTTGATTTAGGTTCAGATGAACTGTAAGAGTCACACACTATTCTCATTCTTTTGATCGCTGAACTTGATTGTAGTAAGTTGGTAACAGCAGGTAATCCTTGTTCATAAAACAATTGTGTCATAAAACATTCTTTCTCCTCGTAGTTACAGTAGGTATATTCATTATCAAGTTTGAAATAGATTTCAAGCTCTGTTAAATTATTCTTACCAGCTACGACACTGAAAAATTGTAATACCTCTTCATTAAGAGGCAATCGAATGTGTTTTAAAGTAAACTGCTGAAGGCTTGAGTTTTGTTTGATACCAGTAGAGAGAAATGACAGAAATGAATTATGAAAATATCCTTCAATCTCAAGGCTTTTCAGCGTTTGGTTTTCTGCTAACAAATCTTGTAAACTAGTACCCATACTGCTGTTACAAATATTTTCATAACGTACCCACAGTTTTAGAGCTTCAAGTGTAGTATTGGTTTGTAGGATAGTAAATAGTTCAATAGCACTCTCAGCTGTGTCTAGTGGCAAAGCAAGTGTACGTAGACTGGGATGAGAAAGAAATAATAAATGCAATGGGTATGGTTCTGGTAGTATCAAACAGTGCAATCCTTTAATATGTGGAATGAGTGATGCCATCAATATGTTAGTGCTTTTTCCAATTTCTAGAGCAGTCAGTGGTGTGTTTACTTTTGATATGTGTAGTGATGAAGATGGGAATAATTTGTCCTGAATATTTATGGAAAGAGCCTGTATTGTGTTGTTGTCCTTTAGTAGTTGCTCAATTGATTGATTGGATAGAGGAGGAGGAAGAGGAGGGTATGAAGAAATATTGATTACAAATGATTCTATTGATCTATTTCTACTTATTCCCTTGATTACGCTGTCAATAGTTACAGTGATTTGGTTATCTCTTCCGCTACAACTTATCTTTACCTCCTGTAGTGTTGAATTTTTTGCTATTGTCTTCTCAAGTTCAATGTGCTCATCTTGATAGCTGGTACTAGTAAGAGAGCGTCTGTGTAAAGTTAAGTGAAGTACTTTCAATAGAGGAGTACTAAAGAACTGTAACAATGCAAGACAGGGAACGAATTGACCATTTTCAAGTTCACAGTAACATTCCTGAACATTATAAAAAAGTGATGACTGCAAAAAATTGTGTATTGATTCAGTTGTAGGATGCCAGAGCTTTACATCTAGTCTCTTACATTGAGTCTTTAGTGATTTATTAGTCAACCCAGCAGTCAAAACTGATAGCGTTTGATCAAATAGCTCTTCCAAGCACAAGTGATTCCATGTTAATTTTGAATTATTGATAAAATAACTGAAACACAGCCAATCAAACAATGAAAGCCTTACTTTTCTGAGGCATAAAGTGGTACCAATGACTGATTCTGCTAATAATTGGCATAAATTAGCATTATGTGACTCATATATGAGTTGCAAAAGAAACGAAGGAAAGTTTCTATTGCTGTCAGATGAAATGAAGCCACTGTTGTTTTTAATCTCAGAAGATCGATGAAACCAGGAACGTTGAGTTGCTTTATATCCAAACAAAGGAGCTCTACTGCACTGTACGTCAATCTGTTTATTGAAATACTGTCGATAGCTCTCATGTTCAAGGTGAGTTAGGCCAGCCACAAACCTCAGACACAATTGAAATTGATCATCATCAAAGTGATCCTTAAACACTTCCTCTGTCTTCTTTTCGTATCTAGCTATCCACAAAGCAGCTAAAAATTCCTGTATACTCAAATGAAGAAACTGATATTTCTCCTCATCATATTCTATGAATGTTGTCATTAATCCAAAAAAATCCTCTTTCACTGCTCCTTCATATTTTTGTAATTGATGTGAAGAGAATGCCATTTTTGCCTCAACCAGGTTAATATAAGCTATTTGACACAACTCTTGCAATGATTTAGCTAATTTTGATGGTAATGAAGAAAGACTACCTAAAGTACGAGGATCAACTTCTTGTCTTTTAACATGTCTTCTGATTGTTTGTAATATGAAGTTGTCATACAGTTCAGTAAGTGTTGCTGGTAAGTGCCCTCCTTCTTTAGAATATACTAAAATTACCATTGATAACACTAGGGGTACATAACATAATGATCGTACGTCACTTCGCATTTTAAGATCTTGAATGAGTTTCAGTGCTAGTTGTGTGTCCTTGTTTGAAAGCATTTCTTGAAGTCCAATATCGTCACTGGTAACACAGTGATCACTGTGGTTATAATAACAGTTCATGTGCATATGATAATCAATGAGTTCTTGTGCTAGTTTTGAATCGTTTTGGAGTGTTTTGATAATAACTATTGATATTTCTTTCTCTGTAAATCCAGTAACTTCAAAATGCTTATTTAGAGAAGACAACTCTAAAAGTGAAGAGGAGGCATAGCTACGAGAGGTAACAATAACTGAACATTGGTCAAACTGCTCTCTACGAATGATGCTAGCAGCTAATGAAGAGTGTCGGTATTGTTCACATAATTCATCCCAACCATCAAAGATTATCAGTAATCCTTCTCCATTCCTCTTCTCAAACCATTCAGCTACCATAGGGACTTCATAACGTTGACACACAAATAAATCAGATAGTGTCTTAGCTGTAACTATCTTGCCATTCCTTAAAGGACAGTAAAGTACCAAGTCATAGTGCTGGTGTAAAAGAGTTCCATTGGCCCACATGTTCAACAGTTTCCGACAGAGTGTTGTCTTTCCAATACCAGCAGCACCGTCAATTGCTACTACTAGAGGAGAAGAGTTAGCATTTGATTGAAGGATATCTTCTACATTAAATTCTTTGCTTCCACACATTTCTACTACTTTATCAATCTGTCCTTTAAGCATAAACCATGACGATTTCTGATGTAGAGTTTGAGCAACAAACAAGTCTTGCTTGTCCACAACTGATAATCTACCAAAGAACAATCCTTGTCCAATCCTTGGTGGCCAGTCGTTAGAAACAACAGGCTGCTGCTTGTACTGTTTCTTCATAGTGTCTGCATATTGCTGGACGACATGTGGTAAACTATTAACCTTGTCTGCTTCAAAACATTCATGACCTAATGTGTCAATTAAAATGAATATGCAATAAAAAATTCAATTTTAAATTTAATTTCAAATGGATTAATCTACATGTACGTTCATTAAATTACAATATACACACATAATTATGTTTACCTAGCTGCTTCATCATTGAGGTAGCTATATCAGTTAATGCTTGATTTTGTTGGTTTACTAGTACATGACAGACATCAATAAGGTACTGTTCAGGATGTTGTGATGATTTCATAAGTGTTTGTAGTGTTATGAGTAGCTTTCCAGCTTTCTTTAATTCATTATCTCCTGATACTGAGTACATATCTCTTTTGGTATCTAGTGGAATCAACCCTTTGGCATGCAGTGCATCAGCCAATCTGTACAAATTAGTAGTAACAGCATCAGTGAGCTTGTCTGAATGACTCCGAAATATATCGTTAGGATTACCTGTACCAAAGTTAATAAGTGTAAATTGTGATAATTATGCTTACCTTTCACAAGATCTGAAACAGGTTCTTTATTATATACACCAACTGAATTACAAGTAGCAACATTCACACTACCTATCATATAAAATTGATAATGAATACTTTAACCACAATTTAATGTAACACACCTCCTCCTATGCATTGTCCTTCATGTAACTTATCTTTGATAGTTTGTGCTAATTCTGTTTCCTCTCTCACAGTCAATGCATGAAGTACATCTCTCCACTTGGCTTCAGGATGTTTATTGATCCATTTGCAGTAAAGAATCAATTTCTGAGATTGATGTTCAGTTTCAATGCCTAATGCTGACTTAGCAATCATGGCAATGTCCTGTTGTGTTATTCCAGGTAAGAGAAGACCAAATGGTTGCCAGTCAACAAGTGGTTCAAGCCACTTACGCAATAGAAAGATATCAGGTTGATCATCAATCATAGGACCAGGATTGAGCTCAACATCTCCTGATAATAGTAGGTGTAGACTGAAAAAGACAATCAGTCCATGCCAGTTTGAATTCATGCTAGTAAAACAAGTACACGTAGATTGACAATGGTGCAGAGAACAGTGACACTCAGTGTCTAAGACAAAATGAATTAATAGTCCATTTTTTATAAAAACAATTGTGTATACCTTTTGGAAGATATAGGATACAAAAAGAAATCATGAAAAAGAAAAGGACAGTAATATGAAAGAGAGTTGTAAGCAGCACTGATGATGTTTTTATGACTACTACAGTATCACTTTCATCTACATGATTTGGATATTGACAAGATGAAGATTGGTAGGCTTTAGCCAGTCTGCTAACTGTAGTGGAACAGTAATTCCACAGTCCAATACTTGCTCTCCACTGAGATACATCAATCATCTTATGCAGTGTACATGAAGATATAGACTAGTGACGGGTGTAGCTACTACAGCAGTTATATAAAAAGTGAAGGAAGTTTGTGATTATTACTAATAATCTTTTGACAGCCAATTGATTGTATGGCTTCCTATAATGCCATTGCAGATTATGTGAACTATACACATATGCTCATTAGTGTTGCATCATCATAAAGGGAAGCAGCAATAGCAGTTTAGGAAGTTACATGTATATTTGTAAATCAATGTGCACTGTGTTATTAATCCATCAACTTGTATTACTGATCAAAGTTCAACTTAAAGAGCCCATATTAACATTATTCCACAGTACATACACGTACATGTACATGTATACTGTTGATAGCATGCTGGCTTTAATTCCCCAAGTGAACTGGAGCAGGCTATACATGCACATAATTATTTGCTGGCACAGCAAATAAGCACAGACACATAAACAGAGTAGCCTGTGTTTATGCCAAGTTTATGATTGCATAATAATGATGAGTCAGCATTATGGATAAGACAAATAGGAAATATTGACAGCGATCACATGCAGCATGTACAAGAGAGAGAGAGAGAGAGAGAGAGAGAGGAGTGGAGGCTAAAATGATATAATATTCAATTGACTTAACACATGTATTTTAAGACAATAAAAAATTATTATTTAATTATTAGCTTATACATGTAGGCCAATGAGTCAAAAATTGAAAGATTAAAAGGAACAGCACACAAAGAAAGGAGGAAGGATATAACGACTGGGCTGGATGAGAAGGGAAATGAAATCAAACTTAATCCTAAATACACTGTACATGTACACATACATGTAGATTTACGAGAAAAATTAATGTACAGGTATGGACTGAAGTTGGTTAACGTATGCCATTAATAACAAACAACCGTACTACATCTACATGTATATCAATTGATGTATAATGAGAGTGAATCATGTGAAACTAAATATAGACAACATGGCTCAAATTTAAAATTTGTACTTCATTGAATTATGTGAAATATTATATGGAGTGCTTTTTACTTCGAGTGTTCAAATTGTTTGACATGAAGGTTAACGCAACATAAAATTGTATCAAAACTTTCAAAAGACAGATAATTATTATCAAAATTATCAGAAACCAAAAAGGACAGAACATATAGTGTCCAAACTAATAAACAGTATCCACAATAGAGATTATTAATGAGGGAGTTTAATAAGATAGAGTATATTATTAGTTAGTACATACACTAGTCCTGATCCTGTTACCTGTACTCCTAGAATACCACCAGGACTGAGGCTACCATCAGGGAGTGTATGAATATACTGAGCTGCTGTTTGACCTTTGACCCCTTCCTCAGGTGAACAGTATATGAAGATATGATCAACACTATCAGTCAATACTGCATAAGAACTATCATGTGTAGCAGTGAGGTACTTCTTCTCTCTTTTAGATGCTTGTACATACCCCAATGCATTGAAAGTGGTTACATGAGTATATGATAGAGAGGGAGAAGAGACAGAGGGAGAGTAGTGTAGGGCATCTACATCATGTCTCAGTGATAATACTGATGGTCCTCTTGGTGTAGCTTGTAAGGTGTAGAGTAACTGTTTACCATTTAAGGAGACCTGGAGATAAAGATACAGTGTAGGGAGAGAGAGAGGAAATTATACTTTTTACATGTATATGTAGTATACACATAATAAATTTAAGTCCACAAATTTTGGCCCAAAATATCGTACTATTTTGATCATAAGCTTCACAATTTTTAACATTCCACAGACCATAAATGATGTCATTTTTTGAAAAAGGATACAACTACATGTAACTGCATAAATTTTTCAATATGCATAACAGTAGCAATACAAAGCATAGTGTACATGTAAAGTCAAACGTTAAAAAATTGTTTATTTATTCTAATTAATTAGTACCTTTTGTACAATGAATCCATTGTTATTGATTAGATACACATTAATATCCTGATCATCATCTGTATCACATTCTTCCAAACTATTGGTAATCAGTGATTGCTTGGAATATTTTGAAGGCCTAGAACTACATTCATCTCCTACCAGAGTAGACTAATAAAGAATGGAGGGAAAGGAAGAAAGAGAGAGAGAGAGAAATGAAAAAAAGAAAAAAGTAATACAAAAAGTAGAGCAGAAAATTCGGTAATAATAATAATACAATGTACGTGTACTGGTGGTTTTTTTGTTAGGGATTTTGCAGCCGAGTAACATTGGAATAAGCAAACCAAATTTGGCATTGTTCTACTATTTTCGTCTGAGCAACATAATTTTTAAAATAATTAATCATGTTTGACCACAGGATTTACGATAAAGTATGCTAAGTGAGTTAAACAGCATGAGCTTCATGATCTGACAAGCACTACAATACAGTAGACGACATTTAGAGCAACTTTAAAATTCATAACAAATCCAAATTTAATCGGAATCAGCTCAAACTAGATATACATGTACAACATCAGAACAGGTATACGTATCAGGAAAAATTATAAAAATGGAAAATTCTCCCCTAGCCATTTTTGGTAAAATTTGGCCCCACCCCTGTACAATAGTACAGGGACTTTGGCTTGATTTTGGAGCAACTTTAAAAATTCATAAAAAATCCATTTAATTGGAATCAGTTCAAACTAGATATACAACATCAGAGCACATATACGTATCAGGAAAAATTTTAAAAATGGAAAATTCTCCCCTCTTCATTTTTGGCAAAAATTGGCTAATGACCTGTACAGGGAATTCGGCACAATTTTTGAGCAAGTTAAAAATTAAAAAAAATTCAAAATTTGATCGGGATCAGCTCAAACTTTCTACACAACATAACTACATATATACATGTATGTATCGAAAAATAGAAAATTCTCTCCTCTTCATTTTTGGCAAAATTTTGCAAATGACCCTGTACAATAGACCAGTTGGTGCTAAGTATATTCATAGAATTTTGAGTATATTCATTGTGATACCGTAAATAAAGTAAAATTTTCCTGCCGCCATTTTGGAGCCTTAGTTACTAAGAGTAGAATGGGAGAAAGTAATATATTTGCTTCTATATCTTCTAGTGGCACTTATTAAAGTCCATGAGCCCACTATAGACACTGGATGATGGTCAGTAAGCAGTAGCAATACTGCTATAAAGAATAAATACAGCAGTTTTTGGAGAATAAGCTCTTTTCATGATCGCTCCATAGACAACCATTGGAAGTAGGACTCCAAAATGGCGGAAGGAAAATTTTACTTTATTTACGGCATCACAATGAATATACTTAAAGTTCTATGAATATACTTAGCACCAACTGGTCTATAGTATAGGGACTTTGGCACAATTTCAGAGCAAATTTTAAAATTCATAAAAAATCTAAATTTAATCGGAATCAGCATAACTTTCTACACAACATAAGTATATATGTATATATGCATAGAACAAAATATAAAATTGGAAAATTTTTCCCTCTTCATTTTTGGTAAAATTTGGCCAATGACCCTGAATAGTACAGGGACTTTGGCACGACTTTTGAGCAAATTAAAAATTAAAAAAAATTTAAATTTGATCGGAATCAGCTCAAACTTTCTACACAACATAAGTACATATATGTATCAGAAAAAATATAAAAAATAAAAATTCTCCCTTCTTCATTTTTGGCAAAATTTGGCCAATGACCCTGTACTATAGTATAGGGACTTTGGCACAATTTTAGAGCAAATTTCAAAATTCATAAAAAATCTAAACTTGATCGGAATCAGTTCAAACTTTCTACACAACATAACTACATATATATGTATCAGAAAAAACCATTAAAATGGAAAATTCTCTCTATGCAATTTTTTGTCAAAACTCAAAATACAAGGGTCTTTGGCCAATTTTGAGAAACTTGACAATCTACTGAGAAGACACTACATGAGAACTACATGTACGCCAAAATCTTGTGGGAAACCCAGCCTGACTGTTTTAAAAACGGCAGATCAAATTCAGCAATGTCTTCAGGGACAATGTCTGAAGATGTTAATATCAGGATCTGAAGTGACACACATGTGTACATGTCATGTACACTGTACATGTGCAAAATTTAAAAGGAAAGAATTCTTCAATCTTATTACATATTCTGATAAATGTATACATTACTTATGTTGCGTGTATGCTGTACATTATTAACATGTAACTGCATTATAATTAGCTCATTGCTCATTTGACATATTTTCATGTATCATTATTTTAGGTTCCCTTACTCTTTTTCTCTTTATTTCTTTTGATTCATCATCTAATGGTGGGAATGAACCATCTTTACATAATGAACTCCATTCAACATCATCAGCCATCTTCTCCAGTGTAATATCCAATCTATGAAAATAAAAAAATACTAATCATCATGATGTAGGTATTAATTTATAAATAATAGTAGTAATAATAACTAATAAATAAACAAAAATACAATATAAATAAACAAAATTCAATAAATAAATATAATAACTAAGAAATACAACAAATAAATAAACAATAACAATCACTTACTTTCCTTTAGAGTAGGTCCAGGTGCTAGTACATTCATCAATATTGTACAATAAATCTCCTCTAATGTATGTTGTACCATCACTTAAACCAACACTGATACTGGTACTCTCCATTATACATATTATATCTGATTTATTAACATCTTCTGGTATCATTATACTAATATTGATATCACTCCTTGATTGATTCCAGCTGGTATTACCAGTCCCTCTATTATACTCCAATGTATCTTGATTGGTGTTCCCATCACTTTCCTTGTCTTCATTCACCTCCTTCCCTTCTCTTTCTATTCCTGGTACTGATTCTGATACCAACAGTAAGCATTCGTTGATATATTCACTGTATAACGGTATAGTAGTCGCTTTGAATCTACACAGCTGGGTCTGGGAAACAACTTCAGTATTACTGGACCCAAGATGATCAGAGAGACACACACTCCACCAGACGCAAGTGCAGTATTTTGAGGATGTATCTTCTAATTGGAACGTCATAAAGTCAATAGCATTACCCCCATCAATCAATGATGCTGACTGTATAGTAACATTACTAGTAATCAGCTTTATTCTTGATATTACACTCCAGAAACTAATATCAGTACGATCCCCAGTATTGAATAATAAGCAATGACCATCATCGTATGACGGCTCGTAAAAGAGGGTGTGGTTTTAGAGAGAAAGATGAGACTTGAGTTAGTGGTAGGAAGGTCTGATCATGACTGGTTGCTATGGTGAACTGGTGATACTAATAGTTCATTACCTGACACCTACAATAAGTAATTGAAAAGAATCAATTTATAATAAATTCAAGATTGGGTAATTTGGGTTGTACGTGTACGTGTACATGTCATGTACATCAGGGTTTCCCACAAAACATGCTAAGTGAGCTAAACAACATGAACACATGAACTGACAAGCACTACAACAGTACACGTACATAGCATTTTACTGAAGCAACTTTAAAATTTCATAAAAATTAATCGGAATCATCTCAAAGTTAATACACAGCACAAGGACATGTATACATATCAGAAAAATTTATAAAAAGGTAAAGTCTTTCTTTGCATTTTTTGTCATAAAACCCTGTACAGAGTATTTCGCCCAATTTTTGAGAAACTTGACAAGAAGCTGCATGCATGAGGACCATGCTAAATCCTGTGGGAAACCTTCACATGTATGACGACAAGTACAGTACATGTACATGTACAGTACATGTAAATGAGTATACACGTACATAGCTACACATACAGTGGTACATGCACAAGCCAAACTCTTAATTAAGCTACTTAAAATAGTAAAGGTGATCCGATTAATCAGTACTAACATTAAATACTTACTGATAAATATCCACACATTATATTGTGTGTATTAGCAGTAGTCCAGTACAATGTGAGTCATTCCAGGGGTCAAAGGTCAAACTATTATTCATTGTTGCTTGTTGGACGTGTTGATATGACAAAAATGAGTGTTGCTTATCTTGTGTAGTCCGCCAGTAAAGGTTTCCCATAGCAACGGTAGGGAGTGGTCAGCTAGCTTGTACCCGTTGAAATTAGGATTTAATAATTCTCTGTTTGGCTTGAATGACATCATGAAATTGAATCTCCCAATAATAGCCTTCTCAAATAAAGTAAGAATAAATAAATAAACTTTGGCTTAGTCCTGACCTCATCTTCTTTTAGCATAGTCACGTGATATATTCCACGTGATAGCACGGGTTTGGGGTTTACGTATTCGTATACGGAGCTACGCCAAGGAACAAGATCATTATGAAAAAAACTTAAAGAAGAAAGTTACATGATTTTCAGCTTTTGACTGTAAGTAGTTAGTCATAGCTAACTTTTTTAAAAAATTGTGTTTATTTACATGTAATTAAATTACTTATGCACTAGTCTAATGTAGTGGTTCCGAAAGCACTCCTAACTTTTTATTACACTTACAGGTGTACTATTACCGTATATATAGCTTGAAATTTTCGTGGGTCGATATTTTCGTGGTTTGCTCCTAGCATAGTCGTATATCTATGCTCCTAGTGGGGCAATTCGTGGTTTAAATTTCATGGTTGACAGTTTACATAGCCTGTAAGGAATGGCACTTCAATGATTTCGTGGCCCCATAACCACAAAAACCACGAAATTTATATTCCAGCATTTCATGAAAATTTCAAGCTATACAGTATATCAGGAGTACATAATACCTAAAAGTTATTAAGTTATGGCTATTTTTAAAGTATGTTAAATTCTCTAAAACTGTACTGGATCTCAGGCTAGTCTCGCGTAGCCAGTTGTTCCTTTGATCTGCCTGGAACAAATTCATGTAGGTCAGTCCACCAGACCCTTCCCACACCGTCCAAATGTCAAAAAGGAAGATGGGTCTGGCTACGCGAGACTAGTCTCTGGCTGGCTTGCAAGACTGCCCATCCTTTTCTCCAATAAATGGCTATATGTAAAGAATTTCAGCTGAATCCAACTTTAATTTTTAAAGCTATAGCCATTTTTAAAAACATGCAAGGCCAATTTTTGATAAATACTCAATGCTAAGCCCATTTTAATTGGGTCATTGCCCTCAAATCTCATACAAAAAGATACAGTGACACAATAAGTTTACACAAAGGAGCATAATTATGAAACATTAACCTAATAATAATACAACAGAAGAACTAAATGCATAATACAGTAATAGTAACAATAATATAATGATAATAAGCCCATGATTTTTCCTAAAAATGGCTCCGGAATCATCACAAATAATTATTAATACAATTTTTAATACATATTGATGTTCTAATGCTCTGTAAAAGATTAAGTTTGACTTCAATTTTTTATAAGAAGTCTGGTAAGCATAGGAGCTCATTTTCCTGGTATAGCAAGGCTGTGGCAGCCATTTTGTTTGGGGGTGAATCCTACTTAGTAATGCTACCATGTTACTAATGTTATGACCATTTT